GGTGTTCAGGATCTTTTCCGATCTGAACAAATGACAGTTTCTGATTTGGCTTCTTCAACAGCATATCTCTTCTTATTCAACAGCCTGTTCATCAGATACAAACTTAAATTGATCACTGCATTACACCATTCATATTATTTCACTACAATTTACGACAGACTTGGTACCAGGAGAGAGCCACATAAAATCGCATAGCTTGTGTGAAAGCTGCAATACTAGTTGGATATTCAGACCGAAGCTAAAGAAGGACAACCGCCGAGTCTGTGACTTGAAGTCTGAGCAGCATCAGAAGCTGTGTTCCCGTCGTTCCTGGTGGCTAAAACACGACCATAACCAATTCGATACAATCGGATTCGTATACACGTATGCACACCATAGGTTAAGAATCAGGGTTTTCCAGTTTCTTTAGATATACTCGGATGTCCACCAGTTCGGTTGTAAGCTCCTGACTTTCGAATTCGCCCATTAACTTATGTGAAGAACACCCCTTTGACGTAAAGGAAGTGAATACGACTTCTCTGACAGAGGCTATAAAGGCGTGGCCATATTTTGAGAGAAAGACCGGAGTCTATGTACCCTCGGTCCGCCGTACTAAATTGTTAATACGAGCTTAGGCCCATTCGGCTTAAAAATGGTTTGGACGGAAAAGTACTACAATTAACAATATTATTATTATTATTATTATTATTATTATTATTACACGAATCGAAATTGCTGCAAACTAATAATTTGGTCACCAACCGACATCAGTTGGTAAAACCAGTGATAAGCAAAGAATACTGAAAAGGTGCTTAGTTCTACTTTAGGACCCTTGAGCAGTGGATGGAACCCACAATTGTCGGCTTACAAAATGGGTCGGAAGTCAGTAATCTACCTCCATAGGTCAATTTCAATGAATAACCAGTACAACAATCTGATCAAGGTTCCTTCACATACAACGACCATGAAGATTGGTTCTCGTAAGGCGTGCGGAGGAGAGACATGAAAGCAGAGCTTGCATTCACCAGAAGTTAGAAGCCTAGTAACTTATCCGAGACACTGTAAACCACAGTGGGAGCGGTACATACCTTCTATCTGGTCTGAGACTACTCTACCGTGAATACGTACACGACAACATTTTACTATATGGTAATATAAAGGCTAAATAAATTCCACTTGATGAACCGGTGACCAGTACATCTGTAAGTATTTTAGTGGCAGAATCCTCATGTCAACCACACACGTGACCGGGGTTCGACTTCCGACCAACCTACTACTACTGCCTAACCTATAATAAGTCCTGTAAAGCGACGGCAGATTTACCTCTTTGCTACCGTGCTTACTAATGGCTAGTAAACAAGGCAAGATTCAAGAGTGCATCAGCAAGGTATTCGAACCCGGAACACGTACACAGTTGACGAGCGTTCTACCATTGAATAACTACCGACACATACATCAACTAAAAAACTGTTGGGTCAACATCTTGACAAAGTAAACATATGAATTTAAACAAGTATTTGAAATGAAATAGATACACCAATTCCATATGTCAACACCTTAAGTTACCGCAGAATTTGTTACAATTGTCAGGAACCAGTCAAGAACTTATTGGCGTAGTTGTGTTCTTTGAACTGGATGGTTTAATTTGCGAAGCTTTCATTGCCTTTCTAGACAACATTAAACACACTTCAATTTAAGGTGAGCTTTTTGATTTGATTCTCCACAAGTTTAAATTATTTATCCCTCCCGGGAACACCTTGAAAGTGATGGTTGGTGGAAATTTCATCAAATAATTAGTCAACATTGTATTGGTACCGATTATTATTTTGTTGACCTGAAAAAGTTGACCTTTTGTCCACATGAATTTCCTTTTGTTGATGAATGAAACCTTTGTATCTATGTCATTGTGGTCTATAGATCACAGACTTGTTAGATGACATCCATCACGCTCCCGGCCCTCGAACGTAACCCAAACGGGAAGTGTCGAGTTGAGCCTCCAAGGTTGACGCGCAGAAGATAATCTGAGTACGAAATGCAAGCTTGTGGTGAATAGTCTTGAAGCCACGTGAGTGTTCAGAGTGTAATGTAGATTTTCCACGCTGGCGGCCTTACTCTCCACTGGGAAGGCAACCAACGAAAAATAATAATAATAATTATAATAATAATAATATAGACGCTAACTTGTACAAAATCAACTCACTATGAAAGCTCTTCACACCGAAATGTAGATAAATAATTTAAATTGTAAAAAAACGTACTTAGATACAACAACTTCAGAAAGTACTTCATCGAAAGTCTTCTGGGTTTCACCATTAAATTTAACATTTCCCTCTATTGGGATAAACTTAATGACGACATGCTCAGATCGGCGATTCCCAGTCGAACATTGGAATACTTCACCAAAGCATCCTTCACCGATTTTTTTCAAACTTTTTCGTCGACTATCAAATTTCCAACAACAACAAAATATATTTGTTTATCACATTTAACAGGATTCAGAGGAAAAATAAAAAATACACAGATTTTTGTGTAGGAAATAAATTTTAGAATATGGTAAAATTAAGTAAATTTCGAAATGAAATTTGTAGGGAATTCGAAAAACGGGTGATCAATAATTCAGATTGTCGCAGATGAAGAGGCATTCACTCCTTTTACCTTTCCCATGTATCTTCACAACGCCGTATTATTGATTTGCTTTCTTTGACATCCAATCAATCTCCCTGCTAATTGATGTTTTATGCCAATGACCAACTCTATACATTTATACACTACTGATAAATCGTATCAGTAGCACTGCGAACAACAGGATACAAACGTTAAATTGACTTACACGAAATAAGGCGGAACAACTGTGGCGTGTGCTATTGACAAGATGCAGACTGATAGGAAGTAGCCAAAATTGAAAACAATAGAAGCATTTATTTCTCAAATCTGTACCCAGCTTACGTCGTGGTCAGGAAATCATCTCAATGTTTGACCTTCAGAAAATCAGCAACCAATCAAAACAGTTTATTGCCCGTTGGCCTAGCCGATCGTAAATGTGGCTAAAAATATGAAAATATGATGTATTTCTCCTCAATAGGAAAGTTCGTTACCAAGTCTCTTGTCATTTCCCGTTCACAATCTATCACCAGACAAGAAACTATAGCCCAAATAATATGTTGTAAGAAACGAAAATCGATTGAAGCAACGAATTGAGCACGTGAGAGTGACATAGGGGATATTATATGAATAGTGGTGTAAGGAAGGAAAGACCGATGAGGCTCAAAGGATAAACTCATTGCAGGTACATCAATTTAATATACTATACATCTAATGCTTTATTTGTACATTATTTGCAAATCGGTCGAATATCACCCACCACATTCGACAGCTTGTTGGATTATGTACAGTGTTTGCAACGTTCTTCACACACTTCTTTTTTTTCCAGTGCCCCAAAACGCATTGTTACTTTTCTGAACTCATTTACTGATATACTACTTATATCCGATTATAAGTAGCACACACCACAGTAGTGATCATAGAACCCGTTAAAAAAAGAAATGACGGCAGGGAAATGAAAGGGCGATGAAGAGGTGCCTTCTTTGCCTCTCAGAGAACCCAAACAACTAATACCAACAACAATCACTACTACTTCAAACAAATCTTATTATTTCTCAGAAATAAGTGTAACTTACGCAGGTGCAAAAAGCTGACTAAATGTTTTGTAATCAGTTTGTTCACAAATCTTTAACAACGCTCCTTTAGCATCGCCGGCTTCAAGTAATTCCTATACAAACAATTAAGATACATTGAAAATAGTTTCAATGAGATTGAATGACAACCTCTCATTATTGACTGACCAAACAATTATTTCCCATTGATAAACTTGAACAAAAAAAACAACAACAATAACCTGATATTTCAGGAGAGATCTAGAAATGTTATCAGTTGGTGGAACCAATGCTCAAGTGACAAATAAGCTCGCTTAGCAACCCATAGGACCTGGGTTCACACAGTCATCGGTGGAGTCACGGAAGGGTACTGATGAAGAGTCGCAAACCAGGACGTAACAGATATCCAGTATACTCCCTGCTTGTTTTTTTAATGCCTCTCTAACCGATATCACTTCATAACTTAACTTGAAAAAGCCGATCAAATCCCTGTAAATCAACACTTGAAAAACATTGGATATCACACTTTATTTGGTCGGATCTTCTGAACAACTGCATACAACCTTAAACACTTATAGTAGTGTCTAGGCACGAAATATTTACATACTTTAGTTATTTATATCACGGAGATTGAGGCCACCAGTGTTATGTAATTCAATATATGAAGGATAAGTTAAAAAGCAAGGCTAACAAGTGTTAGTAAGCGTGCATTGGATAATATCAAGTTGCATGCAGTTGAAGATACCAACAAAATAAAATGATATCTTTGTGTTATTATTACTTCCTTGGGATCCCAGGGGAACATACAGCTTCAACAGCACATCTCCATTTTGTCCTGTTATCTTCAATTGACTCCACCATTGCCCACACGCTTCCATCCCTTCCTCTCACACCATCTCCTTCATATCACGATCAGACCTTGATCGAACTCATCGTTCCCCATTTGGATTTCAGTCGAGGGTTTGTCTGGCTCGCGATGTCATCCGACAGCCTCACCAGGATATGTTCGACCCATCTCTATTTTCCCCGGCGTATACTTGTTGAGCAATAGATTGATGGTTGGTTCGTTCCCAGAAAGTTTTTGTTGCTTAGATTTTCTGGTCAGTCACCTGATCTTCAGTATGGAGCCAGAGAAAGCACTTGTTGGTAAAAGTCTTATTATCATACTTAATTAGTTGCTTATTCTTTGTTCAAGTGTTCATCATACTTTAAATCAGAACAATCGATTAGAATCTGAGTGTTCTGTAAATAGGTGCTCACTCTCTCTCTCTAACTGATGTCACTCCATGGTTAAACTGAAAACAATTCAAATTCCTACAACAAACTAACACTTGAAAAATAATTGTAACAACTGAACAAATAACTTACCGTGTATGAACGATTTAATATCATGTTTTCATGACGAAACTGTCGAGATAATCGTTTTGTGTACGCACTCGACTTTTTCCCAGATCCTGGGCATTGAAATTGATATTGTTGACAGTCTCGTCTGTGTTCATCTGAAGGATTATATGGTGACAGACGAGAGGGATTGGAAGAATAGATTGGAGTGAGTTGACCAACCTTTATTCAAAAATAAACAAATAAGTAAGTGAGTAAAATACAAAACTAAAACTGTGGCACTGGTCTACTGACAAGATTTGTAAGTAGTATATAGACACAAAAATATGTATATCATCTGCGAGAATTTCGAATAGCAGAGAGAAAGATTTAATGCTGAAGTGAAATGAACGATGCCTGTGAAGCATGGAAGGAAGACATAGGAGCACCCATACACAAGGTTAAAGTCACACAATACGAAGATAGGTGTAAATTGTGATTATACATAATATAGTAGTAGACGTATTTTGCTTATATCTGTACATCGAGTTGCTATTAAAGGCAATTAAAGTAAAGAATAGATACCACAGTCATATGAACTTGAAATAACCCATCAGTTTAGCATTTACAGGATATATAAACATAATAAAAATGAATCATACAGTGTATATGACCTCCCCCTCCACGCAATATATTGTGAAAACAGGTCCCATTTTCTCATTGGAATGGTTACTGACATATGCCAGTTTTGGTATATAACCCAAACTCTCGCATAGCCTGCAAGTGCGACTTTTATATACAGCGAAGGCAGCCGGAATTCATTTGCACAAGCAAAATTTGTGTTCAAAAGAAATTTGTACAGCCACTTTCTGAGCACTGTTCACTAATTGCGGCACCTTCTGTCAACTTACATCATGAGAAATTTGCAAGGACGTTGAAACTGTTCTGTACATAAACCTCAAAGTTTATTTAGGCTGTGAGCAGCTGATGGGAAGCCAACGAAATTAATGATGGTACTATATCATTCTGCAAAAACCACTGTTGTTCTTGCATTATTCAAATACATAATATGTATTAAGTTTTTAGAAATGATTTTCTCCCCTTGTAACTTATGTTTCAACATTGTTATTTTCACAATTCTAGCTAATTCCATTAACTTGTTTGTATTTTACGTAACTCTTCTGAGTCATCCTTCTCTTAGTAGTCATCATGGCTATTTTACAAATTTCTTGATTATGTAATAAATTGTTGCTAACCCCAACAAATTAACTTATCTTGAAATCCGTGATTAATTAGCTAATAATTTTAACCGCTCCCTCCTTCAAAACTTCGATATCATGTTTACTAACATCCACTAGTTGATTTTTTCCATGACTTTTAACCTGTTAATTTCACCCAGCCACCCCCAACACGACAATACCTAAAGCTGATGGACTAAAATAACCACATGGTTGGTAAAATTTTTATGTAAAAAACTACATATATATATATATATATACATCAGCAGTATAGAGCCAGGTGATAATGAGGAACTAATTTCAAAGGAATATAATTCTTTGCTCACTTTGTTGTTGCTTGAAACATTAACAATACATAAGGGCTAAAAGGGAGTCGATACGAAAGAAATGCTATACTACTTACCACTTTACGGTTACGTAATGAAAGAGAGTAACGTATTGCGTTATTAGATGCATCCTTTAGATCATAATCCACCTGTGATGAAGTCTTTCTCATTTCACAGGCTGCTAGTGAATTACTTCGATGTTCTGGTGCCACCTAAAACCATATTATTTTATAAAAACACAAAAATGTCATCTTAGAAATCACCCAGAACAAACAAATATGCATTCTCTTAATGCAATATATAATACAATAAGAGTTAATTAGTAACTTTATTCAGTAAGATTACAATAGTCTTTATTAAAGCATCAACACAACTATCTCCAATAGTTTTAGACACAATTCTGTGATTCACATTTAACGTTAAAGTTAAACTTTAAGCACCACTAACTACCAATCAGCGAATGACCTCGAATGCACCAACCACGTGGAGGCATTTTTGTGTATGCAATACATATATTTATGGGGGAAAAATGCATAAAAACTGTAGGAAAATGTTACAGAAGATAACTTCCTCTCACATGTGATAGAAATAGCTCTCAGTTTTAGGTTGAAGTATCAACAGAGTATAATTCCCTTGTGGGTAAAATTTATTTCGATATTTTCATAGTGTAATACAGTAATATTCACTGAGCAATAAATTCTGCTCGAAACGTCATCAGTACATATTACTGCATAACAATGTGTGATTTTATCAAAAATTGTTATCCATAATGGAGTTATACTCTACCACAGTGCACAAGTTTTATTCTTATATCAATAGAGTAATTAAACCACATTCTATGCATGTAATCATTTAGTTATTCTAACCCTACCAATAACCATGATTTTTCCTGAACCTAACCCTAACGTGAAAATGTCCTTAAACTAACTGTAATCTAACTTGGATCAACCTTAATGTCGCCTTTATTCCGTTAACCTAACTCTAACTTGTCCTTGGCCTAAACCGTAACTGAATCTTTCCCAAACCTAAGCTGAAACTTGCCAGATATCCCATTTAGTGGCAAAACACTTCGATGAGCATATTTTATTAATGATGACAACGTTATTTGTTAGGTTTCACTAACTTGCTCAGTGAGCGTTACAAGGCCATTGATGCGGTTGCACTCCATTGATAGTTAGTGGTGCTTAAAGTTTAACTTGGCCAATTAGGCAAAATTACTAATTCACTCAAATCACTAAGAATAATGTTATTTCCAGCGGAACATAAACATAGAGTGATTATTTCTTTTCAAGTTAGATTACGAACTGGAATCAGTGAGAGAATCATTGGAAACTAGGGAGCATTGGGCAGCTGTTTCACCATATTTTGGGACTGTTCACCAGTGACCACTAATACCTCCTCTCAACTAGAGATAAAACCTAGGACCTTTAGGACACAATGCGAGCCCATTGATTATTCAGCTACATCGGTAGAATTGAATGGCCTATGAATTCAAACACCTGCTAATTTGTGATACATAGTGCAACCACCAGCCAATGGTATCAGTGAGTATATAATCCCCTCAATACCCCATTTCGGTGGATTCCACTGGTCATTATTACTGCTCACTAGAGCTCCAAGCAACTTCATTCTGTAGTCAGTCACTATCAAAAATAGAAGGCTTCCTCCCGACCGATAGCTGCTACATTGACGTGGTGATCAGGCTTGCACATCGCAATGACCCAACAAGCTACACTGGCTGGAACCAATGTTCCTGCAGGATAGCGATTAGACTAAAAGCAGTTACCGGTATTGTGTGAGAATCTCTCTTACACTAAGCTGGGAGTCTGAGGGCGAAGTCGTACTGCTGGGGAACAGGGTTGTAACAGCAGTGAGGTGTTTCCCTCAGATGACCAACATGCCAGCTGTGCTGTCTCTCCACTCCGGAGAGCGGGGTTGGAAAACGTCGACCCGAACAATTGTACATCCTGACTTACCCTACGGTGGCCCGTAACCGGCGGTAAGTTTACTAATACGGAACCAAACCAAGAAACCAGTTGATACAGGCCTTGTGTGACCGGCCTAAAGCAGTTGTCCCCTGGACTCAGCGATCACACAACATCAACCCTCTCTCTGTTTCAGGTACCCGAAGAATCAAACAACTTCCACGGTGTGTGCAGCCGGGACCACAGCCTAAATCGAAACATTCATTCTCAATCTCTGATTCCACAGCTAATCCTTGTCTATGTGTGCATGTCATTCTCAGCACTAGCCTCCCCGGAGTATACGACCCATCTGCTGTCTTTAACATCAATCAATTCACTCACAGATGTAGAAGACTCGAAACAACTTCACAAGTAAGCACGACGGAAACTCTAACAAAATTATACACTACAACAAAATACGAAACAACAAGTAAACACAGTGAATCCAAAAACACCAACCGATATGACACACCATGCATATATACAAACAGTACATATAACCTCGCAGACCATGTCTTGATGGGCTACCCTTAAAGAACTGCAGGACTTACAGCAGTAAGCCTACACTCCCCAGGTTGACGATCCAAGTGGAAAGAGGTCCGGACAAAAGCAAAATTAACCAACACACAGATGAGGGATAATACCAAATCAATATATACAACAAGAACATATGTACAAAACAACACACCAAGTACGATGGATTGCGCTTCGATGTACTACCCTTGAAGAATTGTAGGACTTACAGCAGTACGCCTACAACCCTTCTCAGGTTGACGCCCTAAGTTGGGAAATCGCCACAGAGTTCATTTGCTGACCTCCTTCTATCACCTATATACTCAACTCTGAATGGTGACACGCCCATTACATTGTATCGTGGAATGTAGATGACTAACATACGACGTACCTGACCAACCAAACGAAGGCACAGAGTAATTTACACCAAAGATAATAACATTCAAATGGTAACTTGAAACCTGAAATACTTTTATTCGTGCAAGTCAGTTTAACAATTACCCTCTCGTACACAGTTAGCTTATCATCACTAAACTGACCATTCACTTTCGTCCTTTCAAACGGACCGATACTAGCATAATCACAGCATAAGACACATGGGTTCATGGACAGCCCTTTCACGGTGAATGACAACACCAACGACGATTGACTGATACAAGATCATGAACTTAGCGGTGCATCAGAAGCTGTTGTTGTTTGACCTTTAGAAGGTTGTGTAACCGCAGGATTACCACCACTGCTATGTTTTATGATTAGCTCCAGTTTAGCATTAACATCTGTCGATAGGTGGACTACACACGGATCATTTACACTAACGGTCTCATGAGCATCCATACTTTCTACCACCACATCTGCCACTTCACGTTCAAGTTGTAAAGAACCTTTGTTCGACTCCGTAGTAGTAGGCATTCCGCTCGTCTCATCATGATCAGCCAAAAACAAATGTGTACTATCATGATTTTATCACAAATATTCACTTTACCGCCGTTTATGGTCAACTTCATCATTTTCAACCCCTTTAATAACAGCAGTAGATGATTTGGATTCTTCCTCATGAATCCTTAAAGGTTTTAAAGCTTTACTCTGACTAGTAATACCTTGTAAACTTGTGGAGTCGGAACTGGACTCTGAAACTTTAACTTTCTTCTTCTGCACAAACTGCGGTGTCGTCTGTAACACGCTATTCAACAATGGCTTATCAGATGCAACTACAGGCTTCTTCACCGCACCCACCATCCTCGTCATGGGGTCTAAAGGTACTGTTACAATTAACGGAAATCGCCGGTTCGTTTACTATCCTCAAAAGTGGATGCAGATCTGTTGAACCGCTACCTCCTTTGTCTGTTGCCTTACAGTTCAACCTTGTGTGTCTCACCTTTAAGCAACTAAAACACAACCGCTTCTGTTTGGCCATTCTCAATCTTTCTACAGGAGACATTGCAATGAAACGATTACAATCACTAAGCTGGTACGTGTTACGGCAAATGATACACTCTTCCTTTCTCGTCGTACCTTGTGCATTCACTACAAGTGACTTCTTTATATTTACTGATTTCTTAGGTTCTAGTGTTGGATGCGAAATGCTGGCAAAATTACCCGTCGCTTGATTGACACTGTCCTTTACCAGTCTCACAATATCATCCAACCCGGGCTCTTCTAAACGGGAGCTGATTTTTATGAACTTTCTTTGTAAGCGGACGGGTAATCTCTTAGCGATTGCCTCAAGAACAAAGCTTGAGTTCAAATTATCCATACAGTTAAGATAAACGAGAGTATTTCTGTACACCATTAAATTATCCAAAAACTGCGAGTTCCCCGGAGTTATCACTTAACTGCGCCCCATTACCTTTAACGGTCTCAAAAAAACTACGAGATATCGTAAATGGCTTTACAAACCTTTGACGTAACATCTTCATAGCCTCAGTATATCCTTCGTTTGGGGGCATAAACTTGCAGCACTGTATAGCTCTTGCAGCGACTCCAGTGCAATACCTCAACAAATACGTCAACTTCATTTCGTCATTTATTACAAAACCACTCAACATGACTTCAAACTCCTTTACAAACTGTGGATAGTCAGCTGGGTTTCCGAGGCTCA